TCTTATTTTTCCAGATGAATTTCATGTTGCTTTTTCTATTTCTATGAGTAATGCCCTTCTTGGGAGCAAATTTTTACCCCTCACACATCAGATAGAGCACTAATCTCTAGGGTACGTAAAGAACTCAAAAAGCTAAGCACCAAAAAGAAAAATAAATAACCCAATCAATAAATGGGCCAAGGACCTGAACAGACACTTCTCAGAAGAGGATATACAATCAATCAACAAATTTATGAAAAAATTGCTCATCATCTCTAGCATTTAGAGAAATGCAAATCAAAACTACTCTAAGATGTCATATCACCCCAGTCAGAATGGCAGCTGTTATGAAGAAACAACAATAAATGTTGGTGAGGATGTGAGGGAAAAGGTACACTCATACATTGATGGTGGGACTGCAAATTGGTGCAGCCAATATGGAAAGCAGTATGGAGATTCCTTAGAAAACTGGGAATGAAACCACCATTTGACCCAGCTATTCACCTCCTCAGTCTATACCCAAAGGATTTAAAACAGCATATTACAGGGACACAGCCACATCAATGTTCATAGCAGCACAATTCACAATAGCTAAAATGTGGAACCAACCTAGATGCCCTTCAGTAGGTGAATGGATTAAAAAAAAAATGTGGCATATGTACACAATGGAATATTACTCCGCAATAAAAGAGAATAAAATCATGGCATTTGCAGGTAAATTGATGGCATTGGAGATGATAATGCTATATGAAGTTAGCCAATTCCAAAAAAAACAAATGTCAAATGCTTTCTCTGATATAAGAAGGCTGATTCATGGTGGGGTAGAAAGAGGGAGCACGGGAGGAAAAGATGAACTCTAGATAGGGCAGATGGGTCCGGGCAGGGAATTAGCAAGGATGGTGGAATATGATGGACATCATTATCCAAAGTACATGTATGAAGACACGAATTGGAGTGAACATACTTTGTATACATTATATACAAGCAGAGATATGAAAAATTGTGCTATATATGTGTAATAAGAATTGTAATGCATTCTGCTATCATTTTATTTTTTTAAATCAATTAAAAAAATAAAAAGTGGGGGCTGGGGATGTGGCTCAAGCGGTAGTGCGCTCGCCTGGCATGTGTGTGGCCCAGGTTCAATCCTCAGCACCACATACAAAGATGTTGTGTCCGCCAAAAACTAAAAAATATTTAAAAACAAAAATAAATAAAAAGTGTTTAGTTCCCACCATTACCTGATTTCCACTCTTCATTATAAATTCAGACCTTTCACCTCTCACCACAATTTGCAGTTTGGTTTTATATTCCACTGTCCCCCTATTGTACTTAGATTCAGCTTCATGGCAGATGAAGATGCTGTTCCCTGAAAATTTTTTGCTTTTTCCTGCACTTGTACTTTGTAGTCATATTTCTCTCATTTTATAGCTCTGCCTTGATGACATTTTCATTTTTGTCTCTATCTCCTTGGAATATACAGCAGTTTTTCTCTATGTCATACCACTTTCCCACTATACTTTTTGTTATTTTAAGTTAATTGTAAACTTGACATTTTGCATTATGAGAGTGAATTTATAGAGAGCAGAGTTGATATCTTACTAACTTATATTTCATGCTTGAGTCAAGCACAGTTTTGGCACTTAGAAATTAATCTAGAATTGTTTTTTTGTTTTGTTTTGTTTTAATGAAAGTAGAAACCAGCCAACATTGGTTCCGAGGAAAATGCAGAATAAATCTGCTAATGTTTTATTATACAGGGCAGAGGAGCCCTTACTTTTCCTGTCTGTCCTGTTTCAGAGATTATGAAATGGACCAGACTACACTATATAATTGTGAAAGATTAATTTCACAGGATTCTTGCCTTGACCAGAAATCCAAAGAGAAACCCTTATATGGGCCAAATGATCCATGAAAGAGGTTAAATAAAATACTAAAAATGAGAATACAGAAAGAAGCAGCATTGAAAGTGTGAGGTTCTAACTTTATACTTGCTCTAAATTTGAAAATGTGGTTTTTGCAAGTTTGTATAACTCTCTTAATTTCAATCTGTGATAGCTACATGTTTATCTAGATGTAAACAGGAAAAATATTCTCTGATAGTTCATTTGGGAAAGGCCAAGTCACCAGCAAATTACCTCAGACTGTCTACAACACCAAATTATATGCACACACATACACAGACATATTCATATGACAGAAAAGGAAAAATACAATAATTTTAATACTTGTATTTTCAGTTCTATCACCAATATACTTTTCCTACCCTGAGCTTATTTTACTTATCATAGTCTTTCTGAGGGCTTACTGTATCCCAGGTGCTAGGATAAAGAGGTTGAAAGGCCGTTTCTTAATCTGCTGTATATCCCTACCTTTAAAAAAAGTAGAACTCATATGTTTTATACTAGCTCTTGGTTATCATATTATTCTCTCAAATTCTGTTTATGAATTTAAAAATAAAATTTGGAGAGGAGCTTTTCCCCCCTCTTTAAATTGTGAAGGTTTTGTTTTTGTTTTTTGTTTTTAACTCATAGTTCACACACTTTCTTATTGAGTACACCAGTTCTCCTTATGAGCGTAGTATTTAGTTATAACATGGGATTGTCCCTGTATGGTGCTTTCAGGTAGACTAGGTGACTTATAAAACACTGGAATTTATTTCTTAGTTTTAGAAGCTGGAAAGTCGAAGATCAAGTTGCCAACAGATTTGTCATCTGATCAAACCCTTTTTGTAGTTCATTTGCCATCTCATAAAGGCCCTCTTTCTAGATAGACACCATCTAACTGTGTCCTCTGGGCTATTTTATTTTATTTTATTTTATTTATTTATTATGGTACTAGGGATTGAACCCAGGGATGCTTTACCATTGAGCAACATCCCAGCCCTTTTTTATTTGGAGACCAGGTCTTATTTAAGTTGCTGGGCTGGCCTTGAACTTGCCATCCTCTTTCCCCAGCCTCCTGTGTTGGTGGGATTGCAGAACACTACTGTATCCATCTGGCCTTTTTCTTAAGGGTACTAATCTAAACATTCATAGGGTTCCAATGACCTAATAATTTTCTTCATAACTTAATCTCTTCATAGGTCTCACCATCTAATACTACCATCTTGGGGATAGGGATTTAAACATAAGAATTTTAGGGGCTCTCGGAATATATATACCTCAGTGGTCAAACACTTATGTAGCATGTACATAAGATCTTTAAGATCTGAAATTAGGTATTTTGTTTGGATTGTTTACCAGCTATTACTTAAAGCTGTGCAGAAATGTAAACAAGACTCTCATTTGCAAGTATCAGGATAGTTTATTTACCCACAGAGAAAACAGTGGCAGCTTTAGCCTCAGGGAGCCTGGATACCTGCAAGTGTGTTGGCCTCATTTGTCTGGCTCTAGTCATTTGGCGTCCTGTGGCTGGCTTGTTTGTCCTCCCTCTTTTCTCTGGGACACTTGTCACAGGTGCTGTTGCTGCACATGTCATGCTCTTTTAAAAAAAAAAATATTTTTAGTTGTAGATGGACACAATAACTCCCTGCCCCCTCTCATAAATATGAGTGTGTGTGTGTGTGTGTGTGTTTTAGATGTTGATGGACCTTTATTTATTTTTATGTGGTGCTGAAGATCAAACCCAGTGCCTCATACATGAGGAAACTGAGCTACAACCCCAGCCCCATGTTGTGCTTTTTCTCTGCCTGCATGTTTAATACCTGTTGTTTTGTTGTTCTGTATCTTTCTGTCTCTTTCTGTTTCTGCCTCTTGCTCAGTATCCTCCTTCCCATTCCCCTGCTCCTTCTCTACCTATTGGTTCCATTTTCTCCCATGACAGGCGCTTCCTTTTTTTTTTTTCAAATACACGCCAGCGGAATGTATTAATGACAGGCATTTTCATGTGGCTTTATTAGGCAGTATACTTTGATTTGTCTTCAGGTGAGCAACTAGAGAAGAAAGGATGCTTTATATATAACTCCAATTACTAAAATCCAGAGAAAAATTTCTTTATACCTCAGCTTACATAGTGAGGAAATAAGGCACTGTAGCCACTAGAATCTTGAAATTTAAGATGGAAACAGCAATTGCCAAAAAGAGAGCTTCTTCTGGACAGACAGTACAGTAAATGTTCAAAACGGAAGATGAGATAAGTATTTGGGTGAAACTTACATAGTCTTTATTAATATACTCACATTTGAGTCTTTTTTTGTTATATGGAATTCCTGTGTCCAATTCATTTTTTCTGTAACTGCTTTAACATTCATGCTTTTTCATTTATAATATGAATCAAGAGTGTAATATTCAGAAATATTGCCTAATAATCCACTTCAAAATGGTTGTATTTTTTAAAACACATCTTCATTACTTTTTGTGCATTACACTTAATTCATACTTTTGTAAAAATTGCTGGTTCTTTTAGAGGTATATGACACAATATATTACCAAAGTTGTGGTTGTTGAATTCATTTTAAAGATTAGTTTTAGAATAATCTCAGCTCTTTTCACACTGTTAGATCTAGTGATAAGGCAATGGAAAACGAGGAGTATCCATCTTTTATGATGAGCCTATTTTAGCAATACTATTCTACCTTGTTTCAAACTTTTGGTTTTATATGGTTTTGGTTTGGGGCTTGTGAATGTGTGTGTTTTGGTATTTGTTTGTTGTTATTTTTGCTTTTGTTTTTATTTTGTACCTGGGATTGAACCGATGGGCACTTAGCCGCATCCCCAACCCTTTTTATATTTTTTATTTATAAACAAGAGTCTCAGTGCTGGGGCTGGCATTGAACTTGTGATATTTCTGCCCCAGAGAAATATCCCAAGCCACTGGGCCATCATGCCTGGCTCAGACTTTTGTTTTGAATTTACATGATCACCTACCATCTAGCATCTATGATGAAAGAATATATTACTTGTAAAGTGATTGTTGTTAAACTTTCTCTTTCTCATACTTCATGTTTTAGAAACCTTTGAGTTTAAAAAAAAAAAAAAAGCAAGTGTTTTCTGGAAAACAATATATTTAGTGATCTTTGAATCTCTTAACCATTTTATACTTCCTGGCTCAGATTTATCACCTGGATATCTTACTAGGGAAAGATAAACATGTATTTAAGACACAAAGAAACCTTTTATAAATAACCATCATTTCATTGTAGTCTTAACACAGCATGCATTGTTGCCTAAATTCATTTTATTATTTGGTAAGGACACAAGTTTGAGTTATTTCAGACTGTGATATACAATATTTTCATATAAAATGATAAATGATTAAAATTTCTTTCTGTAGGCTACAGAGAGTGAAGTAGGAGATGTAGATTTAACACGTCTTCCAGAAGGACCTGTTGATTCTGAGGATGAAGAAGAAGAAGAGGAAGAGATTGATCGAACAGATCCATTGCAGGGGCGAGATCTTGTTCGAGAATGTCTTGAAAAAGAACCTGCAGACAAAACTGATGATGACATTGGTAAGAAATAAATCTGTTCATATATTTTCCTAGTGTTTCCTTTACAAAGTACTCTGAAAACTTAATGCCTTAAAGCAGTGTACATTTATTCTTTCATAATTTTTATGGATCAGAAATTCAGGGAACTATAAAAGAACTATGAATATCAGGAGGCTTGGATCATTGAGAACCATCTTTGAGATTAGCTGACACAGATTGTAAAACAAAAATTTAATTTCATTAAACTCATGTCCATATGTATTTAAAACAGAATAATAATGTCCAAAGTTTGTGAATTAGCTTCTTAAAATTTTTCAAGAATCATATTTTTATTTTCCTAGCTTAAATTTTTGGGTAAAACTTAATGCATATTCCTCTGTGTAATTTATTAAAGAATTTAGTACATAATTAGTTGGCAAGTTGAATATTAAATATGTTGATGTTATCTTTGAGGAACAAAGGATTACTCAACATCAAGTATATATTGTTAGGATTCAATTAACATTTTCTCATAGATTTTCTTTTTATACTAGTCATATTGCTGTTCAAATCATAAGATGCTCTTGCTAATAACAGCCATAATTTATATCAGTAAAGATCAAAATATTTGAACATTCGTTACCATTCCAAAGATATATTATTTAATAAGAACATTATCTGGACAGAAACTGGAAGTACTTTTGTCATGGAGAAAGGTGTTTTTGTTTTTGTCTTTTGCAATGTTGAGTATCAAATCCTCAAACATACTTAGGCAAGCACTTAACTTCTGAGTACATCCCCAGCCTGAAAGTGCATTTTTAATGGTAAAGAATTACATGCTACGCTGTCTTCAGAGTTTTTTAGAAATTGAAATGTAAGTATTTCCAATTATTCTGTGAGCATAGAGCTCCTTATGGTTATTTCTGTTAAAGCCTCTGGGTAGCTATCTGTTTCTCCTTTTTTCTTTCTTCCTTCTTTGCCACTACCTCTCTGCTAGAGCCATTAATTCAGAAACTGGCAAGGGACGTTAAGGGATTGAGAAAAGATAGATAAACACATAGAAAGTTGTACCAAGTGGGACACCATCTTCTGATAGAGTAACAGTGACCCAGAGGTAGCTCAGCACATTTATTATATAGGTTTTATTATCAAAAGGTTATTTGTGGGAAGGTTTCTGCAAAGCAGGCAAACTAAAGGACGCAGCACTGGGGAGACATTAGCGTTATCTAACTATGCTCAGAGTAGTTCTCTATCCCTGGGAGCTGGTGCCTGAGCTCAAGGTCCAGACTGATATAACTCCATGCCTTTGCACAGTTTCTTCAAGCCAGGTGTCACCATAGCAACTGAGCAATCTTGATCTGTACAAAGGTACAGGTCAGAGAAAACACAGGCAGTCACAAATCATGATCCAAGTCACTGCTTTCCACGCTTCTTTTTTTTTTTTTTTCTTTTAATCCCCTGCCATACTGAGAATTGAAGCCAGGGTCTTCCACATGTGAGACAAGCACTCTGCCACTGAGCCATATCCCCAGTCTTCTTATTTCTTTGAAACATGATCTTATTAAGTTACCCAGGCTGTCCTCATGTCCTCATGATCCTCATGCCTCTGTTTCCTGAATAGCTGGGATTATAGGCATGTTCCGCCACCCGCAGTCTGTTTCTCCCTTGTATTTATCTTTATTGTTCATGTGTTTGTATACTAAAAAATGCCTGAGGAACCCATCAGCCTTTATTGTAGTACATAGTTGCTTTGACAAATCTTGTACTACATTACACATTTGTTACTCCTAACAGTTATTTATTGGCATTGATGAGTTACATTTAAAAAAAGAAAGAAAAATCCCTAGCCAATAAGATTAAAGACTTTTTTCATTAATCTGTTAGGTCTAAGGGCATCACTAATCCAAAATACAATGGCATCTCAGGCTAGGTAAATTAGATAAGCCTTCCAGCTTTATCTCACTTTGAGTTCATTGTTTTCTCTAGGGGTTATAAATTCTGGTATCTTTCCATATGCCCATATTTTATGTATGAATCTGAATATACATGTAAAGTAAATAACTGATATTTTTTTCAGTCAATGGTCTTTGTAATCTGGCTTTCTCTACTCTAGCAGCATAAATTCACAAGTCAGTTATGGAATTGGATATTGAAGTCTAGATTTTATTCTCTTTTAATGTATCATCCTAAAATTTGTTTTTTATAGAACAATTACTTGAATTTATGCACCAGCTTCCTGCTTTTGCAAACATGACCATGTCTGTAAGGAGAGAGCTCTGCTCAGTGATGATTTTTGAAGTGGTGGATCAGGCTGGAGCTATTATTCTTGAGGATGGGCAAGAGGTAGGTTAGCAAATAAATGTCACATTATTTAGTATGGATGCTAATTTCTACTAATTTTACTTTTAGAAGAATTTTATTTCCATAACCTTGTGTAAATCCTCACTTTTGAAATTTAAACTGAACAGTGAGCTAGAAGGAACACTTAAATTTGAAGTAGTTATGATTTCTAAGGAGAGAAATTTTTTGTTTAGCTTTACTTTATCTTAATTTTTATTTCCTAGCAATGGATTTTGTGCAAAATAGATAACAAATTTGGTTCAACAAATATTATTTATTTTCATTTCTCAAGGTTCTTAATTAGTATTCATGTATTTATATCATTGTTTAAAATGTTTATAAAGTTAAATGTATATATTCTCCATTTTCTTTCTCTATATTAACATGAAAAAATGAGGCAAATGTATTGGTACCACTGCCTCCTACTGGACAAATCCCAATTGGGGCATTTATGTGGCAATTCTGTGTTTTAAACTGCTTAGATAGATGCAGCTGAGTGGAGAAAGGATGCAGGGGGATTAGAAAGTATGACTATTGTTAGGAAGTGTTTTGATATTTTTCTTATCAAGTTAGTAATGATTAATGCTGAGATGTTAGTTGCTGAACATTGTCATTTATTTCTAATAGGAATAAAAATTGGTATAGTATTTCTGGAAAGTCATTTTTCTAAATATCAAAAGATGTTCATTATAGCATATTTTTAATAGTAAAAATTGGACGTGACCCAAAATATCCAAGAATAAGAAATGGTTATTCAAATTATTACATAGCCACAGAATATGACATATGCTGGGCAAGTATTCTGCCACTGAACTACACCCTCAACTTCTCACATTATTTTAAAATTATTTGATGGAAATTCTGTGAGGGCAGGGGCCAAATCTCTAGCTTTTTTTTTTTTTTTAACATATTTTTTCTTTACATTCTACACATAAAGTGTGCTCCCAAAAAAGTTTGGTGAATAGATGAGTATAGCATTAAATTTTTTAAAAAAGCAGAATAATATAAATATCTTAACTATTCAAAATGATATGCACACAGATGAGGAATAAGCCAGACTCCCCCCCCCCACGCCCACAATTTTTTGTGTTGTCTTAATTTCCCACAGTTCCATCAGCAAAAATTTGTTGTATGTCAGCTGTGTACCAGCTTCTGCTCTAGACCCAGGGATGTAGTGGGAAAAAAATGGGTAGTCCCTAATCTCAAATAGCCTATGTAATCCACAAGTTCAGTAGTGAGTATATTTTACATTTAAAACAGTAAAAAAAAAAAAAAATACACTTTGTGAAAAAAAAAAAAATTCTTTATACACTGATTACCTTTTGGAACTGACAATCCTAGATTTTCCCTTAAGTCACATTAAAACTATTGAAAGTTTACCATATAATAAGAAGGGTTGTTTATTAAAGGGAATTAAATGGTCTTTTATTGACACACAGTGGCCTTTAAAAGAAATATCTCCCTGGAACATTAATTTCTTCCATATAAATGAGGACATTGTCTTCTTAACCTTAGGAGAAATTTTGAGCATTCTATTTTGTTAGATATGCCTTAAAATTCAGGCTTTTCCTAGTCTTTCTAAATTAATCACTGTCTTTTTTGGTATTCTTACTACATGTCAGACACCTCTAAGCACTTAGTATGAAATAACTCAATTAATATAGTAATTCTATGATAGATTCTATTGTTAGGACCATTTTAGCAGTTAAAAAAAAAAAAAAAGAGGTTCAGAATGGTTATATAACATGCCAAAAGTCACCAGGCTAGTTAGTGGCAGGGTCTGGATTAAAATTCCAAAAAATCTGTGCTCTCAAACATTACATTTTTGCCTCAGGAAATTTGGTAATCATGAAAGCTCCTGATTTCCTTTGGTTACTAAAAGAAGAAAGTGTAAAATAAACTTCAGTGGTTGTGCAGACTAGAATAGGGAACATAAAATGTTACTAAAAGTGCTTAATAATATAACCAGATTCTCTTTTTCACTCTTTCAAATTATGCAAATTATATATTTTGATAGATTTTTGTTCAAAGCTAACATAACTATCACTTCTAAAAGATTCTTAAAACCTTTGTTTTTCTCTATAGCTTGATTCATGGTATGTCATTTTAAATGGCACTGTAGAAATTAATCATCCAGATGGAAAAGTTGAAAATCTCTTTATGGGAAATAGTTTTGGAATTACTCCCACTCTTGATAAGCAGTACATGCGTGGTATTGTCAGAACTAAAGTAGATGATTGTCAGGTAAGCTTTTCTCTTGCTTGTTTGATTTGAAATGGCTGAACCTAATTTTTTTCCTCACTTAAAATAAAATCACTGTATGTGAGAATGAGGAGTTTCAATAGCTCATTGTTAATAAAGGAAACTCAATCTTATAACTGCCTAAAATATTTATGGGATTGAGCAAACTATAAATTTTTTAAGAGAATGTGCCAAGTAACTACTAGTTTGTTGCATTTCTTTCTGATATTAGCCAGCTCAGAGTCTTTTTTAAACAAGGGAAAGAAATAGGAACTTCAGAGTTGTTTGTTTCTAACTTACTCCTGCTTTGTGTTTCCTTTGTGTAGTGTCAGTTTTGAGAGAAGTGGATGTTCACTTCTCCTTTTAGAGCAAAATTCAAATGGATTTGACTTCTTCGGTCTCTTTATGTGTACATTGTTTCACCTTGATTTTTGTTAAAAGTTTAAAGGATTGAATGAAAGAACTGATGCCGCTTGATTTCTTGCCTTTGTGCTCTGCTTTGGTGCATAGTGATATATTTATGTACTATAGGTTCATTAATTGTCCCCATGTTGTTCTTGGACAGTTTGTCTGCATAGCCCAGCAGGATTATTGGAGAATTTTAAATCATGTGGAAAAAAATACCCATAAAGTTGAAGAAGAAGGAGAAATTGTTATGGTGCATGAGCACCGCGAATTAGACCGGAGCGGAACCAGGAAAGGACACATCGTAATCAAGGTGTGTATTTTAACTTATTATTCTAGATATTGATAGAATAAAGTTTTCAACTTGCTTTTAAAAAGGCTCTGAACTCCTTTTTTAAATAGTGCAAGATAACTTCACTAACACATTGAAATCTAATTTTAATCAATATATTCGTTCTTTTGCCTTTTTCTAAGCTGGTTTTTATCCATTTTAATGTTGAAAAATAACTTTCATATCAGCATGGATAGGGGATGGGTATTGTTTTGGAATATACTGGTCAGTTTTTCTTCTAAAATGTATTTTATATTTAGAAACAATAGAAATTCAAGGATTAGCCACAAAGGTGTAGGACTCATAGATGAAAATGCAGAGTTAAAATAGGCATTGATTTCACTTTTTTTTTTAATCTAAAAATGGTGGTAATACAGAAGGACTTGATTAAGATTAAATGAGGTAGATCAAAAGCTTTAGTACAGTTACAGAATTAAGTATGAATTCTCATACTTTCTCTCCCCCACCCCTTCCCCTATTCCTTGCCTTCTTCCTCCTCTGCTCTTTAAAAGCCTCTGGATATAAAGTAGAGCCATATAGTCGAAAGGGAGAGAATAAATGCATAGCTTCTTGTCTTTTTGGACTAGTCTTGGTTGCTAATTGGAAATGGAGGAATTTATTTAATATGAGGAGTATAAATCGGAAAGACAGATCTAAAGCTGATATCATGCCCACTCTTCCTTAGAATCAAGACTTTCTCAGAGCTGTCTCTCTAAAACTGATGGTTTTAAGCTTTTTCTGTAGAGAAAAAATGAACATATCAATGACCTTAGGGTCATGTATATATTTTCTTATTTTAATTCCTTTGTCTTTTTGTAAGGACTTCTATGTTTCTAATAATTTCAAAGTTATAATAGAAAAGTTGCAAGAACAATACAAAATCTCCCTGAGTCAGATTTCCCCCAATTTTAATATTTTACTCATTTGCCCCATTGTCATTAGTGGAAAAAGTAATGCCTCATCACTTCTAAATATATCATATGTATTTCCTAAAAGCAAGAATGCTCTCCTGCATAAACACCATGGAATCCTTCCAAGTTTGGAACTAAACATTGCTGAAACAGAAAGATTCAGCCCCAAAATCATGTTAGATATTCACCAGCAATCCCATCATTGCCACTTTTTTATTTCTGGTCTAGGATCTCATCCAGGAACACAGATTTAGTTGTCATGTCACTTCAGTCTGTTCCTATTTTATATCCTGTAGGAATAACCCTTTACCTGGATCAGTCTAGTGTTTCCTCATGACCATACTCAAGTTGTTCCTTCCCAGCAGGAATTTCACAGAAATGATGACATGCACTTCTCATTACACCACATCAGGGGCCACAAGATGTTACCTTTTCCACCATGGTAAAATAAACCTTGATGCCCTGCTCACATTGATGTCTCATTCAGGAACACAGATTTAGTTTCTTCACTGTAAAAATTACCATTTGATCCTTTGTAACTGATGGGTACTTGGTAAAGGGATATTCTGAGATAGTATCAATAAAACTGCCTCTAGTTCGTGGATAGTTACGAACTTCTACCCAGAAGTTTTTACTTCCACTGACTGACTGACTACTCTTGCCTGAATGGTGAGACCTTATTACTATAATTTCTTGCATATTTTTAAACTGTCATTTTGTAAAGAAGAGCTTTCTTTTCTTCTACATTTATTAATATTAGTATAGACTTATGTGTTCACCAGTATTATTCCTTAGATCAAATTGTGTGAGATTTAGCCAGTGAAGCCCTCTTTAAGCTGACTCCTATATTATTTTGACATGTCCCTCTCTGGCAGATAGTAAGGCTCATCATGAACTTGATTTACACCAGATTTTGAAGTCAGCTATTTCCCCCAGAGTATACAGGATCTTTCCAGTTGAAGATGGTATTTATGAACCAATATCTGGGTATTCCCTTTGTTTTTAGATCCTCTCATCAGATAAAGCTAGGAAATCTATATATGGATGGATGTATTACAAATACATGCCCATTTATTACTTTTTCTGTTAAACATCTAGGGGTTTATACTGATACATCCAATCCAGTGTTACACCCCGTACAGGGTTTTCTCTACCCTTTTTCTTTCTGTTTCTATAAGTACATTCACCAACAATGACTCTTGTTATTCTCTGTATATTTACATATTTGCTTATTGTAACCAATCTCTACCATGCGAACCATCTGTTTTGCCTGCCACCTCTGTGTGTTCATCCAGCATCCCAACTTTTTTTCTTCCACCTGAGACATAGAGGTTTATTTAGGAAAGCAGAGGCATATTTAAGGGAGAATGTGGGCTATCTTGAGAGGGAAAAGTCACTGGGACAAAGCAAGTAGTACACATTAAAGGGAGAATGTGGGCCATCTCCAGAGGGAGAAACAGCAACCTTTTGGTGTGTGAGCATCCTACCTTCTCAGCTGCTAATAAACATAATGGTGATGTGCCTCTTCATAATTACCTGACTCATCTTTAAAGTTTAGAATGTATAGCTTAATCTCTATAAGAGACCCTGCCTCAATGACTTAGCCAGTCAAAATGATGGCCTCTGTTCAATGTTGACCAGTTTACACCATGACTTCCAATATATATAATCTAAAAACAACATTTAAGTGACCCTAAACCATCGTTGATAATAAAGCCAATTTGGTGTTTTAGAGGGTGGAAGAATAAGAATAATCTATGGTCTCCTTGTTCCTTAAGTTAGTTAAATGAAAATACTGTCTTATGACTTCCTTCAGAGAAATGATTTACATACTTTGTTAGCAGTGGGCACCTTTTTAAAAAAGATAAAATAAGTACTTTGTAGTACTAAAGTATGTTTAATGTACATTTATTCTGAGCAACAAGTTGTTTGAATGAATGAAGCAAATTGAAGTTTGGGGTCATGAGCAATAGTTAATTTTTATATCAGGCTTACCATCTGTTTTATTTAATTCAGAAGCTCAAAGAGGAGCAATGGTAAATGTTTGTTTGTGTTCTTTTGATAAGTTTACAGACAGGCAAGCATTTAAAACTCTGATTGTAAAAACTATCTATAGGACTTCTCATTCCTCCCAAGATGGTGAGCTAGCAGAGATAAAATGTAGAAGGAAACTATTTGAGGAAGTAACAGCAGTAAAACTGGCTTTTTTTGAACTGATATATTATTCCTGCAGCTTGGGACAGAAGAAAATTTGAAGTGGAATAAATTTGAAATAAAGCTTCCTTTTTTTTTTTCTTCTTTCTCCCCGCCCTCTTTTTTTTTTTTTTTTTTTTTCCTTTTCTTTTACTTACCTCTTGCTTCTTCCTTCTTTTGCCTGGGACAATCATTATGTACCCCCATTATACCAGAAATGGCAGTAAGAGCCCACACAAGGAATAAATCAGTTAAATTCTGAGGATGCCAATGGAAAAAGGTACAGCTGAGTAAATGCTGTTTTGGGTACTCATTCCTATATTTTTTCTCATCTAAACCTCTACTGCTGCATTACAACCTAGAAAGACTAGCTTCTCCCAGCGTAAAGATTTAATGGTGAAATTACTTTGGGGATTTGTATAAGGGAGTGGCTATAAAGGAGAATAATCAATGGGAGTTAATTGATTCCGTTTTGTCCTTGGATTTTTAGGCAACACCTGAGCGTCTCATTATGCATTTAATAGAAGAACATTCCATTGTGGACCCAACTTATATAGAAGATTTCTTATTAACTTATAGGACATTTCTTAAAAGTCCTTTGGATGTTGGAATCAAGCTTTTGGAATGGTTTAAGATTGACAGCTTAAGGGATAAGGTTGGTTTTAAAAATATCAAGGGCGTGAAAGTGATTTTAATGTAGAATTTTTGTTTTGAAGTACTGGGGATTGAACCCAAGGGTATTTCACCATTGGATTACAACCCCATTTATTTTTATTTTTATTTTATTTTGAGGGTATCACTAATTTGCTAAAGCTGGTCTCAAACCTGCAATCCTGCTGTAGCCTCCTGGGTTGCTGGGATTATAGGCATGCACCACCACACACAGCATTTACATTTTATTAATGAACGTTTTGCAGTTGATAGATTAAATGTTTACTTTGATAACAAAATTTAGTTCACCTAAAAAATTAGTAAGTTGGTATAGACATATATCTGCTTATCTACTTTTATGATTGCATAGCCTGTTTCAAGGGGACATGAATTTTTTTTTTGGACATGAATCTTAAAAGGCAAAAATTGAAATAAGGCTGTGATGTTGCTCTAAATTCAGGAAACGTAAAAGCTGCATAAGTGTTTTAGAATTTTACCAAAATATTTTATAATCATTTAAAAACAATATGTTAAATCCTAATTTTTCTGTCCTGCTGCTTATTTAAATCTTTCTTTGAATTTGCATTAAATGTTATTTGCTATTTAAAATAGATTATTTTGCCTGTTTCATGGTATGTACAGTTTAATGGAAATATTAGTAATACCTCAGCAAATTAGTGGGAAGTAAGTTGTTCTAAGAAAATAAAAAGGAGGATCATAATGGCAAAGAAAATAAGTTAGATGAAGGCAAAGTTGATTTTTTTTTTTTTTTTTTTTTTTTTTTGGCATTGGGGGTGGGGGGATACTGAGGATTGAACCCAGGGGCAGTTAACCACTGAGCTACATCCCCAGCCCCTTATATTTTTTAAGACAGGGCTGTCTTTAAACTTGTGATCCTCCTGCCTCAACCTCCTAAGTCACTGGGATTACTGGTGTGCACCCCCACACCTGACTAAACTGTAGAATTATATTATTTAGGAGATTAAAGTGTGCAAAACTACAGACTTGTCTTCCTCTCCTTTTTTTTTTTTTTTTTTGGAATTAATTATAATTACTTTGGTTCCTGAGAAAATAAAGGCATGCCTAGAGACTGAACAAAAATATGATTTAGAAATAGCTAGATTTCTACATGCAAAAGAATGAAATTGGATTCTTACTTACCTTACACCATATATAAAAATTTACTCAAAATTTATCAAAGTTACACCATTCATAAAAATTTACTCAAAATGTATAAGAGGGGCTGGGAATACAGCTCAGTTGGTAAAGGGATTGCCTCACAGGCACAAGGCCTGGGTTCCATCCCCAGCACCACAAAAAAAAATTGAGGCAATATAAGAGATTAAAGTATAATATTTTTACAAGAAAAGATAATAGTAAATCATGATGACCTGGGTTTTGGCAGTAGTTTTTCAGATATAACACCAAAAGCACAAGCAACAAAAGAAAAAAAAAATAGATATTTGAATTGCATCAAAATTAAAATGTTTTCTGTATCAACTGATACTGTCAAGAAATACAGGACAACACATGGAATGGGAGAATAAATTTGCAAATCATATCTGATAAGGGTCTAGCATCCAGAATATATAAAGTATTCTTACAGTTTGGCAACAAAAGGACAAATAACACAATTGGAAAATGGACAAAGGACTTAAACATTTCCCCAGGAAAATGCATAAATGGCCATCAAGCACATGAAAAAGATGCTCAACATAATTAGTCTTAGGGAAATACAGCTTGAAGCCATTGTGAGATATCACTTTGTATCCACTGGGATGGATTTGTAAAAAGAAGGAAAAAGACCCCCCCCCAAAAAAATTTAAAAACAAAGAATGTGAGAAATTAGATACCCCACCCCCAATATTAATGATGGAAATGTAAAATAATATAGCCTCTGTGAAAGACTGTTTGACATTTCTTCTAAATTTGAACATAGAGTACCCAAACAATCCAGTAATTTTTCTCCTAGGTATGTACCTGAAAAACAGTTCACAAACAAAAATTCGTACACAGATATTCATAGCAATATTGACCATAGCCAAAAAGTGAGGATGGTCCAGATGTCCCACTAATATTTATCATGGATAAACAAAACATATATAGCAATTTAATAAAATATTATTCATCCATAAAAAGAAACAAAGTACTAATTAAAGGAAGCCAATCACAAAAAGCCAATATTACGTGATTCTTTTTATATGAAATGTCCAGAATAGGCAAATACATACAAAAGTAGACTAGTGGTACCTTCCAGGGACTGGAGAAAGGACAGAATGGGAAGCATTTACTAAACTAGTTAGTGATGATAATCATATAACATTGGAAATGTGTGAAATGCCATTGAATTGTGCACTTTAAATTGATTGAAATGGTAAATTTTATGTGCATGTGCATTTTACATAATTTTGAAAATATATGATTCAAAATTACATTGCTAACTATATTACTACTTAACATTTGCTTACTTTTAATCTATGGAGCAAAGTAAACAAACCTATTCACCATTTTTGAAAATTGACAGTATTTACAATGAATGAAATATCAGATTTGTTTTCATTAAAATTTGGGGTTAAATATGTTCTTAGCTATAGAAACACTTATACTATTTTTTGATATGATTGCCAGCTTTTATGATATGAAGTTTGTATTTTGAGATGCTCTGAAATACATATCCCATGTATTTATTCCATTTTAAGAATATAAGATGACTTTTATCTTCTGAATGCACAGAGTTCTTTGTTGCTTGTGTACCCAAGGAAGCAAAATTTTAGACTAAAGCATGCCTCTGTTAGAACAAGCCTTTTTATATACAAGGAAGGGGAGAAGAAGGTTAGTCATAAAGCTCTATTCTTCCTTAGTTTGGGGCATGTTTTTGGAATGTACTTTTTCAGAAATAATGCCTCTCATAACCATATGCTGCCTTTTCTGTCTTTCCTCAGGTGACACGGATTGTATTATTATGGGTAAATAATCATTTTAATGATTTTGAAGGTGATTCTGCTATGACTCAGTTTCTGGAAGAATTTGAAAAAAATCTGGAAGATACAGTAAGGCTCAAATGAATTTCTTTTTCACAGTTGCTGCTCCTCAGCGAGAACAATTATTCAGAACAGCAATGGCTTTTGTATTATCCTGCATACTAAATGAGAACTCTGTAATTCTGCTTATCCTCCGTCACCTCAGCTGAAACAAAAATCATCCATTTAGACTCTGTTTTTCATTTTTAGTTTAAGACTAGTATCTCTTAGTTCCTCAGGCTTCTAAGTACTGGGCATATGTGGATCAGTCCATAGTCACCCATGTTGCTGATTTAGGCATTTATGTATACATATGTGTCTTTGCTTTTGGTCTCTTTTTCAGCCATTTCTTTTCTACTTCCCAGTTTAGGAGCTCATTATTTTATTATACCTGTTCTATTATAGTAGCCTGCTAAATGGTCTTAGTTCTAGTTTTCTTCTACTCCATTCTGTGTGTCCAAAAGATAGATATTAAAGTACAAACAATGCATATTGCTTGTCTTTGTTAGCACACCATATTTTTTTTTTTTAAGAGAGAGAATTTTTTTTTTTTTTTTTTTTTTTTTTTTTTTTTTAGTTTTCAGCAGACACAACATCTTTGTTTGCATGTGGTGCTGAGGATCGAACCCGGGCCGCACGCATGCCAGGCGAGCGCACTACCACTTGAGCCACATCCCCAGCCCAGTACACCATATTTTCTACCAAAGTAGTGTCTCACCTTATACTCATGTCACTCATCTACTTTTTCAGGATTTTTCTTATGTACTATAGATTATATCTAAACCAGACTATTTTGTAGTTCTTTATCACAGACCTTGTTGTATTCTCTTCTTCCAGTCCTGCTCTTTCCAAGTATGTGCAACTTTCAGTGCATATCTTTTATATCCGATCTACATTAAGACTTTGTGGATCTCCCTGCTACATGTGCTTTCACCTTTTCTAAATATATAGTATTTAAGATAATTCCTTCAAGGTCTTCTTAACTTCCACAGTAGCTATTGATGAATACATTTGATTCTCCTTGTCACATAGAATTCAGCTGCAACTAGGTTGTCTGCTTCTAGCAGCTTGAAATTTTTGGAAATAAATAATGTAGTATAATGGTTAAAAGAGTACAGCTCAGGAATCAGTTTGCCTGAATTAACATTCATACTCCATCACTTGCTCGATATGTGAATTTGGACAAGTTGCCTAACCTTTATGTTCCTGTTTACTTATTTGAAAGATAATAGCCCCTACTTCAATGAGATTGTATGAAGATTGTAGTGAGTTAATGAATAACAATACGAAAACAATCCTGGCACATAGCGTATGCTCAAGAATTATAGTCTTCAGAGTCTTAGTGGCTTGAGTTGCCTGAAAAAGAAAAAAATTGGAAGATATGATCCAATTTTTACCCCTTAGTTCTTATAGACTTCTCAGCAGCATATCTGCTTTGTAAAATGGGGAGAAATGAACAGGGACTGGGGAACCTGATATAGAGGCACACCAACGTCAATAGTCATGAGATGAACAAGATAGGTGTTTGTATTACGAAAGTTCAGAGAATGAGAAGTAATTTTTTATCATCCCTGTGGGGATGAGATAACATTTTGAAATCTTTTGTTGTTGGTGGTGGTGGTAGTTATGGTTCTAGGGATTTAACCCAGGGGCAGTCTGTCTCTGAATTACATCCCCAGCCCTGATCTTTAGTTGTCTTTTTAACTTATCTAAGTTGCTGAAACTGGCCCTGAACTTGCTAACCTCCTGCCTCAACCTCTTGAGTTGCTAACCTGTGATTATCTAAAAATCTTTAAAATCGTACTCAGACATCTTATTCTTAAGAGTGTACTGCAGTAGACGGGCCCTCTCCTTTATTTTTTTTTTTTTTTTTTTTTAATCACCTCACATGATTAAAAAAATTCATTAATAGTAATTAATAGTAAAAATTAATAATATGTATTAATAGTAAAAATTCATTAATAGTAGTTTATGTTTACAGTTCTTATTTTAATAATTTTTGATGATTTTAGAAGCCTATAGGAATAGACATAATTTTATTCTTTTTTTTACTTTATAGAAAATGAATGGTCATCTTAGGTTATTGAATATCGCCTGTGCTGCAAAGGCTAAGTGGAGACAGGTTGTGCTACAAAAGGCTTCTCGAGAGTCACCTTTGAATTTCAGCCTTAATGGAGGAAGTGAGAAGGGATTTGGTATTTTTGTTGAAGGAGTAGAACCTGGTAGCAAAGCTGCTGATGCAGGACTGAAACGTGGTGATCAGGTAAGTAAATGACTCACCATTTAAATTAAAGCCATCTTATCAACACAATAGTCTGTCTGTTATTTTTGTTCTTATCCGATATTTCTTAAGTAGATATAGTCAGTTTGAGTATTTGTCTGAGTGCATCTTAAGAGGTGGTATTCTAACATGGCTTATTTTTTAAACACATTTATTATATATCCACTGCTGTTAATAAAAAATTTGATCTAGCGTTTGAACCAGCTCGACCAGGCCTCATCATCGTGACCTCCTTTGGGCCTGCCTCATACCCCAAAGATTAGTTTTGAAGGAAGGGTCATTTCACTTCTTATGTAAGTGGCTGAAGATTACCGTAAGTGATGGTATCAACTTAAATAATGTTCATATGATAACATACTACATTTATAAGCCAAGTGAGTCAGGTGAGGGACCAGAAAAAATCAGACACTGAAAGGAATTTGGTGATGATCCATTTCTTCCATTTAGACATAAGGTAACTACTGAGCAGGCGGTTTGAAAATGTGATTTACTTATAACCTTTTGTTACATTAAAAACGCAATTCCCATGCTAACCTTAGTCCTTCCAGGCATATTAATTACATTCTCAAATGATAAAGTTTCTAAATTTGTATTTTTAACAAAGCTCTCTAAGATGATACTCATGCATATCAGAGGGTTGTTTCCCAGATCTTAGATACCATCAGACTCACTTGAGAAACTTACTTTTTCATGTTCAAAAACTTGTTCATTCATTCAGTTAAAATGTGGTTTTATTTTACTTTTGAACTGAACCATACTATCACTTTTTTAATATGATAAGGGTATTCACATTATAAAAAACTATTTTGAAAGATGCTATCCTTCAAAATAGTGATTCATAACCAACGGGTGATTTCTGCCCCAAGAGACTTTTGAGTTTTTTGTTTCTTGTTTTTTTGTAGTGGTACTGGTAGTCAAACCTAGAGCCTCCCTCACACTTGAGGATTCTACCACTGAGCTACATCCCCAGCCCTAGATAGATAGGTAGGTAGATAGATTTTGTTTTGTTTTTGTTTTTGTTTTTGTTTTTTTCCCTTTTTTGGTACCGGAGATTAAGCCCAGAGGCACTTTACCACTTAGCTACCTCCCCAGTCCTTTTGATTTTATTTTAATTCAGCGTCTTACTAAGTTGCTGAGTCTGGCCTCGAATTTTCAATCCTCCTACCTTAGCCACCCAAATTCCTAAGAATGAAATTTAATCTGCTTTTCCTTCTTCCATCATCCCTCTCCATTACTGTGGAGATGATCTGAGGCTTTAAGCAACTCCCACACCATCAAAAAAGGGGATCTCTTTATTTTTATTATTTTTGCATAATACTGTATTATCTGTTTTAGGAGATGCAGGTCTTTTTTAACTTGAATTTTACTTCTGTAGAATTTTCTTTTCATAATGTATTGTTATGCATTCTTTCTTATCCTTTTGGAATTTTTATGTCAGTCCCCTAGATCTTTCCTCTTTGTTGATTATTTTTTATTCATTATATTTCTCTATCACTCTTTATTGGAATTGGCATTTTTTAAAACTAAGCTTGTATAATTCTGAGGTACAGCCAAATTGGGCAATCCTTGATGTTCATATGAAAAAGAACTTATCTCAGTTATGCTTCTTATTGTTTGGCTACCTGATACAATCAGTGACAGCAGGTTTTTAAATATATTTAGAGAGCTACTTTCAAATGAATTATTTCACTTTAAAATGCAGTAAATTTACACATAGGATATTTGACTATACATACACACAGGTGGTAATTTTTGATATGATTTGATATGGTCAAAATTTTTCATTTATGAACTTTTCTGTGATCTTTGTAAAAAAAAAATCCTTACTATTATCCTAAAGTGAATGAACTTTTAAAATATATATATATATAATTTACAGTAGAGAATTTGGAAAATGCAACCATGTAGGAGAAAAAAATAAATACCCATCTACCTTCTCACAAAGAGAGCCGTTGTTTACTTATGGTACATTTTATTGAAGTCCTACTGTACTTTTTCAGCATAAACTTTTAAGCTTTTGTCTTTTTACATTTTATTCTTAATTTGTATTTTTCAAATACTCTTAAGATAATGGAAGTAAATGGACAGAATTTTGAGAATATTACATTTGCAAAGGCCCTTGAAATTTTGAGGAATAATACTCATCTTGCACTAACTGTGAAGACCAATATTTTTGGTAAGTTTTGTTGTAAATACTGTCTGAGCTTTGCTTTTCTGTTTTTGTAATAGAAAAGTAAAGTCCTAACAATGAAAAGAAAAATAAAATGTAAAACATTTCTTATCTGAGCTATTAAGGTATTATTAGGATTGCTAATGTGTGTAGTACAATTTAGAATTTTCACTTTTCATTTGTGCTTATTATTTTGATATCTTAGAAAGTTTGAAAGTAGGTATACAACTACATTCATTCAGTCATTTATGAAATATCTATTGAGAATCTGTTATATACCATACTCTGGTAGAGGAATACTTAAAATGACCTGAATAGAACTTAGAGTCATAATCAGGTTTTTTTTCTCCCTGCTAATTTACAAATTAATCTACTTCTAATCTTTTAACTAGCTTTCTGAAATAATGTAAATGCCAGATTGTTTCATGGAAATTAATTAAAGCACTGAATTAATAATCAGTGAATTACAGATTTCTAACAAGAAACTCTACCTTCCTGTGTAAAAATGTTGATTATGTCATATAAACAAAGCAAATGTTCACCTTGTACTTATTTTATTAAGAAATTTATGGGTTTTTTTTTTATAACTTTAAGAAAGGATTTATTGTCATTTGGATTCATTTGATACCACAGGATTTTTGTTAAAATTCAGAGAAAGGCAACAGTAAATACAGTATAGCCATTGAAAATTGTCAAAGAAAATTTAAGAGTTTTTATTTAAGAGCTGGTTCCCCTAGGTTTCAGTTGCAATTAGAGAAGTAAGAGTTGACTTTTAAAACTATGCCTATAGAAAGGAAGTGTGAGTTTTAATTTTTCCACTGTAACTCCTCTTTATACTCTGCTTAGTAATATTGAAAAATGAAGCATTTGTTATTTTTCCTCTTTTTATTGGAGTCACTTTGACTGAATTACATCATGTTGACTCTGATATATAACAGTCAGTTGGCAACTATACAGTACTTAACAAAGAATAAGTAAGTAAGCCTTCAGGGTTTTTGGATTTCCTAGAGGTGACACTAGTATTTAGTGACACCAGCTTTTAGCTTAAAACCACAGGGATATCAGTTTTGAAAAACATGAAACCAGCATTATGCATGTTGGACAGATTATTTACTCTCCAGGCTTCAGTTTCTCCAGCTATATTTCGTAAGGTTCTTGTAAAGATCCAATGCCTTTACTTTTTTCTTGTCACTTAATGATTGCTAATTAGTATCAAATATTATTATATACAAAAATATATAGATAGCATAATATAGTGTTTAACAACATTAACTCTGAAAGACAGAAAAAATAAGTTTAAAGATACAAAAGGTGTAATGTATAACAAATTAGAATAAATAAATAAGTTTAAATTTTAAAAGATACAAAAGGTAGTGAACCCACACTCTCAGAACCCTAGAACCCTCTGAGTGGTAAGAATAACAAAATGTCAGACTGGATGTTGCATGGACCTTTTTTTTTTTCTTTCAAAATACTTTTATTTAAAATTAAAAAATTGAGGCTGGGGTTGTGGCTCAGTGGTAGAGTGCTCGCCTCACACGTGCAAGACCCTGGGTTCAATCCTCAGCACCACATAAAAATAAGTGAAATAAAGGTATTGTGTCCAACTACATCTAAAAAATAAATATTTAAAAGGTAAAATTAAAAAATTACAATTAAAAAAAAAGCCACCACAAACCCTGCCTTTCTTTTTAAATAATGCAGCATGGAGCAGTTTGGTTTCCACCCTATTGTGCTGGGGCTGAGGTCCTGCCAAGAAAGTGGGGTTCAACCTGGGGAAAAGAGATCAGCCCCTCCCACTCCCTCAAGAGGCAGAGCCTGGGTTTCTAGAGCAACCTGGCAACACACCTCTGTCACTGTTGACAGGACCTACTTTATCTTCCCTGAGGACCCAGTGGTCACAAGGGGAGTGAGAACTGGAGAGAAAGGCAGAAGAAATGTGTGAAAAGTCAGACTCCCAGAGTTTCATTAAGGCATTTGGAACAGATAAATTAATTCAGGAAGACCTATCTTCACAGAAGGCTGGGGTAACCAGATATACACACATGCAAGAAACATATTTGTGGAACCCTGAAATGGGAGGAAAGGAGACCATAGTCACTATTTGGTGCTTCTATCAAAACACACACGAACGAGTTACATCCAGGGATCCAGCCCACTGAGGCCGCCGTGAGGAAGGGTTCTGTTCCCATGATAATTTTAGGATCCTAGAATGATTTCCATGATGTGATCTAGTTCATTCCACTGCCAGGATCCTGGGACACAGAAGAGGTTGTGAAGAGGTTCGGGGGGGGGGGGGGCGCAGGGTAGGCTCCTTTTCGACTGCAGATGTGTTAATGTTCAAAAAGAAGTCATCCAGGGTACAGTCCCCCAGGTACCGGGAACTCAGAGCTTCCAAGAAGACTGGGTCAGGTTGGGGTAGCACTTCATTCTTGAGGCCGGGGGAGACACTGGATTCTGAGGTACTTCTGTCTCATCCATGGATGTCTCCAACTCCCTGAGGGTAGAGCCAGCCGATGGTGGTGGAGAGGGAGAAATCTCTTCCTCACCCAGGAAGAGGGGCTGCAGGGGCGGGCCGGGGCAGAGCAGGTGCTGGAGCCAGGTGAATGGCGGCCTGGAGTTGCTGTAGGGATTTGTGGATAATGACATGCCTGCGGAGGCTGGGTGCTCAGGGGCCCAGGCTGTGTTGGATTTTGTCTAGGGAGATGTATAGCAGAGCTTTTTGGCAGCTCCGAAGGCTTGCTAGACTCCAGTCCCACTTTTCATCCTCCTCCTCTTCCAATCTGAGTGTTTCCTCATCAGGCCTCTCACCAAGATGCCCTAGATCAGAAGTGGAGAATTTCAGGTCTGAACTCTGCCTTGGACACTGCTCAGTTGTGTGATCTTGGGAAATGATGTGAGGTTACTTCTATGAGCCTCATTTGTAAAATGGGTATTATAAACATATAGTCAGTCAGGGGCAGAACTACATCGTTAGGGTCTAGGGTGGAGGGTGGTAGAGAGCAGTCAAAGCTGCTCCCTTTAATTTAGCTGGTCTTCACACCAAGATCCTGCATGGATCTTGTAAGCAAAGAAAATGTTTGTATAGATGATACCAGAGCAAATCATACTTGCCATTTTGTATTAGTAATTAGGATCATCAAGAGAGCATGATGAAATCCCAAATAAGTGATCTTACAGATTGGGAGCAGGGAAGGGGGACATTCAAGGAAGAGACAAAAAACATTTATAGAACTCTGCTTGGAGCAATTTAAAAATCTAGCCCTTGAAACAAGAACAGCATGTTTGGGGCGGTGGGGGGGGGGGGACATTGAGGAAGAAACAATTCTTAGAGTGATGTAAAATATGGTGGTAATGACAAAAGCATTCAATAGAAGGAATTGATAATAAAATGGTATCATCCTTCTGCTGAAACCTTCCTACAGGATGGGAGAAAATATTTGCCAGCTATTCATCTGACATAAGGTTAATATCCAAAATTTATAAAGAACTTAAAAAACGTGGTTTAAAAAACAAATATATGGAAAAATGTTTGATATCATTAGCCACCAGGAAAATGCTCATGAAAACCACAATGAGATACCATCTCACCCCAGTTAGAATGGCTGTTAATAATAAATAACAATTGCTGATAAGACAAGGAAAAAAAAGAAGTCTTACACACTATTGATGGGAATGTAACTTAGTATGGCCACTTTAGAGAACAGTTAAAAATAGATCTACCATATGATCCAGCAATCCCATTTCTGGGTATATATCTGAAGGAAATGAAATTGGTATACAAAAGAGATAGCTGCATGACTGTTTACTGTGGCACTATTCATCATACCTAGATATGGAGTCAGTCTAAGTGCCCACTAACAGATGAATGGATACAGAAAATATGCTGTGTGTATATATGTACATACAGCCATTTATATCAGCCATTTTATAAAATGCAAATTTTGGAGCAAAGTGATGGAGCTGGAGGATATCATGTTAAGTGAAATAAGTCAGACATAGAAAGACAAGTATGACATATTCTCTCTCACATGTAGAAACTTAAGAAAGTTGACCTGAAAGTAGAATAGTGGTTACTAGGGGCCAGGAGGGCGGGGTAGGAAGGTAGAAGTATGGTTGGATATAACAAGTGCACACTATATTCATGTAAAGTATATTGCTCAAAGTTATGCCTTGTGATAAGCTGAGTGGTTTTGTAACGTGTATTTGGTTATGTTATTTAAGTGTATTTTCCAGAGTATGCAGCCACCATTCCACATATAATCTGTTTCTATAACATTCATTAAGTAGTTAGTTATATTACTTATTACCTAAATAGGAACCTGTAGATTTTTAAAACATGCTGGCAGCCTACCCATTTTCTGTCCATTTCCTCAAGTGACTTCATTTTATCAGTGTTGGACAACATCATAAGTACAGTCAGGTTTGAAAACTGAAGAAAGAAGTAGATAAAGCAGATAAAGGATGGGTGATCATGTTTAGTTGAATGGGCTGCAAAAGGCCAAATAACAGAAAATGATTGTATTTATCCTTTAAATTTATTTTTGGTGTAAAAGCTTCCTAATGAAAAGAAATGACAGGTTTATTTGTTTATTTCCAGTATTCAAAGAGTTGCTTAGTAGGATTGAACAAGAGAAATATGGTGTTCCTCATATTCCAAAAATTGCTGAAAAAAAAAGTAATCGGCATTCAATTCAAGATGTCCCAGGAGATATTGAACAGACATCACAGGAGAAAGGAAATAAGAAAGTTAAAGCAAATACTGTTTCAGGTGGAAGAAACAAAATCAGGAAAATTCTGGATAAAACAAGATTTAGTATCTTGCCTCCAAAGCTATTTAGGTAGGTACTGTCACTCTCTGTCATATAGGAATTTTTATATTGATTGTAAAATTTTTATTGCGGGAGAGGGAAGTTTGGGTCATTTCTTGCTTTTTATGTAGCTATTGTATTATAAAGTCTCATAGCAATCTATAATAAGAAAATAAATTCTAAATTTCTCCCCATGGCTTTTATGAAGTTACCACTGTTAAATTATATAATATTCTATTGATGTTACTTTAAATTTTAGAAAACACTTAGTTTTTTATTCTGAGACCTATTTTTATATATTTTTTGGTCAAATTTCAGTCCCTGGTCTAATTTGGACAATCTTGGGACACATTTCACTGCTACCATCATTTTTTTTTTGTTTTATTTTGGTTTGGTTTTGGTTTTAAATCATGGCACCATTTTCCCCCTCCTGAAGTCTAATGCTAAACTTTAGTCAAACCTATTTTTTATTTCAAAAGCAGAATATCATCAAAACTAAGTAATACCTGAAAATTTTATATGTAAATTAAAGTCTGTGAAATACCAATTAAGTCAGTCCACTAAAGAGTCATGGTTGAGAATGCCTCTAGTGTATATTATATTATATGGGTATATATCTTACAGATGTACATATATTGTTATATTTTATGATTATTATGTTATATACTGTACATATATATAATACAGAACTTTTGTAACTGCTTTCATAAAGCAGTTCTGAGAACACTAAAATATAGGTATAATACTTGTACATAGTAGGCACTCAAGTAATACTTATCAAATAAGTTAAGATAGTGAATTAATCAGAAGAAAAAAGCATACTCAAAGAACCACATATATAATTTTCAGTATTTTTTAATAGTTAAAATTCTCAAAGATTTTAAAGATCAGAAAATGTTCTTCCTAAAGCTCTAATTTCCAACCAGAGAAGTACATTTGCCCTTCCTTTAATTTGTCATGCATAGATTGAAATATCCTAAGCTTTGTTCCTAATCTCTCTCTCTCTCTAGAAAATTCATAACTCATTTTGTGAGTGCCTTGCTTTCCTTGAAGTAAAGGATTTATAAAAATCATAACCTTAAATAGCAGGATTTGCTAATATTGTACATACTATAGCAAACATTATAAGAAAAGTCTTGTTCTCACAAATGGGGATCAAGTAAGGAGAATATAAAAGGCACCAGCCCACATTGAAGAGGTTGAGGTCAGTTTTGTGATGACCAAAAGTCACTGTGGGAAATAGAGACCAGAAGACAGAAAAGAATTCACAAGCAGAGTTTTTTAGAAGGTAGTGCTCTGACTTGTACTTCTAGAAACCCCAGTGGGTTTGGTCTGGAATCTTTTAAGCGGTTCTTATTTTGACTGGTAGCAGAGTTGTGACATGTATATCATTTAAAACCTGAGAATATTGTTAATTATTACTCACCTCAGCTTGTTAGTGTTGAATTCTAGTAAGCTATACTCAAGTTTCAGGCAACTAAATCAATATATCATCTCCACATAATTCTTCGGGAAATGAGAATTAGTTACTGTGCATGGATTCTATCTTTGCTTACAGCAGGAAGCATGGAAGTTGAGATCACCTGTAGTCAGTTGAGTATCTTCTACATTATCACCTTATATTGGTACCAAAAAAAGAACATAAAAATAAAATATAGCATAAAAATCATATTCTACTATTCTAGTAGAATAGTTTCACTTAAACTCAGAAGGATTTTTCTGAATTTAATTTTCCTCATTTATTAACCAAGAAATATTTACTGTTTTGCTATGAGTACAAACATGAATAAAATGTGCTGCACTTTAGATGTCTTTACTAAACATGTTTTAATGAAGTAAAATACTAATAACTTCAGCTACAGGAGTTTAGTTAAATACATTGTACTGCAGAGTGCAAAAATGACTAGAAGGGAAAATACCAAGATGTTGATTATGGGAGATTTTGTAAAGAATTTTATAGATAATTTTTCCCTTCTTCCCTTGCTTTCTGTATTCTTCAGGATTTCTGCTTTGAATATTTGTTATCTTTTAATTGAAATGACTGCAATTACTGGATATCTTTTATATGCGCAGATGCTTTGGGAGAGGCATCAAGAACAGACTTGATTTGTTCCTTTAGCAGTACTTACTTCTGTGAGAGTAGGGTGTGAGTTTTCAGAGAGGTGTAGGAGAGAATTTCGGTATCTCTAAAAGGAACAAAGAAAGGATGTAAGGAAGCAAATACTTGAGATAAGAATAAATAATTCCAAAATCCTAAATCATATATACTATTAATTATAACATACCCAATAGTAGACTGTTTTGCTTGTTTATCAGGAATTATTTTTATTCTCCAACTTCTTATCAACATACTTTTTTTGTTTGCTTTTGTTTGCTTTTGATATTTGAGTTATTTTTTATTTGCATATTGATGCTATTTTGTAACCATTATAGTTCTATAATATAAAACTAAGTACTTTTATTCTCAGTGAATCTAGTGTCAGGGAATTGTTGGAATTTTTCACAACTGTCTTATTTCTATTATTGCATCACCTCTCAGGAAACTGTTTTGGTAAGAGTTGATGTACTTATTTGCCAAATAGGCTTTATCAATTCAGCTTCAAGCATGGATATTTTGCCATGTAGATACTGTATCATTCCTGTCATAGCATGGATTGTACATAACAGTATAATTTTCATTTATATATACTCACACCTTAATTGCCATGAATTTATAACCAGCTTTTCATGACTATAGCAGCAAAGTGGCATAACAATTCATTATTAGAAAGCAGAGTTAATGTTAAATAACATCAGTGTGATATAAGGTCTTTTAGGAGTTCATGAACATCTCTTAGCATCTATAGTGAATTCCAATTTGCTATAACTAATACAACTAATTCCCTTTTATAGACAATTCTAACTTTTAGTATCATTTAGGTTTCTTCTACTTGATTAACAGGACTAACTAATCTCTAACTTTAGTTTCTTGGATTCAGTTTTCTGACCCTCTGTCCAAATATTGGTAGATGTGTTTTCAAAAACTGAAAGAAAAAAAAAGGCTGTTGCTTTAAAAAAAAAATCTTTATTTCTACTTAAGAATCTATGAAAGCTGTCCTTCTTTAAAACAATTAACTGTGACATCTAGGAATACAAATTATAAGGAGCCAATTTAGGGTAATCTCAAATTACTTATCAGATAAGATATTTCCTTTGCCTTATTTTTCAGATAGATTCCTTTTCTCCTTGAGAACAAATTGTTCCCACACTGTCCTCTTCTGCATTTCAATATAAATTAATTAAAATAAATATCCTTTCTTAGGTTTGTGTGGTTCTCATTTTAATTTTGGTAAAAGTACTTTATCTTCTTTGCCAAAATATTCACCTTCTTTACCTATTTTAATCCTTATAATAGTTTGGGGGTACAGATATGAGGAAAACCAAGGTCCAGCAAGAGAAAGAAATTTGCCTGAGGTCAAACAGCTAATAACCCAGGTCTGTCTGACATCAAAGCTTGCTCTTAAAACAGTAACAAGAAGTCTTTGCTTTCTTCCACATTTTCATTCTTTTCCCAACTCTTCAGCTGTCTGTCCTGGCCCTCTCTTTCTTGTATGGCTGTTAAGTTCTTTAGCTATTTAACAATTCTCTGGCATCATTTTCTAATCTGCCTAAATCATGTTTTACTTCTAACATATTCTAAATATACCCCATATCACTCATTTTTAATACTGTAGCCTTATCCTTTCCATGATAATAGGTAAGTATTCTGTGATACTGCCTGTTTGAATGTACAACAAGTACTAGGCATAATGGTACATTGAATAAATTTAGGTGGGAACTAATATTAATGGAAAGTATTGGTTTTTGTTTTTTTAATATAATGAAAACCCTAGAAGTGGTATTTTGCTACTGATGCTGTTGGGAATCTTCTCCATGCCCTCCCCTATTGCTATCCTATGTTTATGTAGAAATGTTTTACTTTAAAATTTATATTTTGAGATCATAAAACTTAAGTAACAGTATATATATCCCCATTCCCCCACTTACAGGTAAATTTAGAGTTGCCTGTGAGATTCTTCTAAAATATTCTAAAAGAAGTTTTTTCTTTGCTTAAATTTGGCCACTTAATTATTAACTTTTTTTTTTTTTAATTTTAAAAGAGAATTAACTTTTGCTGCTTCCTTCCTATTCTGGATTTTGTATGTTGTAAGTAGGGAGGAAGGGACACTTTCTATAGTTTAGCTATGCATAGTTGGATACTTATATTAATGGACACTAAAATATGCATCCATGTATTAGCTGGCAAATTTTTCAAGGGCTCCCTAAACATTCAGGTTCAGTTTCTTTACCAAAACCAGTTGAAACTAAGTATGACTTTTTTATGATGCAGTAGAATTACTCAGATGTACAAATTAAATTTTACATGAACATAGTTGTTAAAAATATTTATATTTTCATCATTGTAGTTATCCTGTTTTAAAAATTACAGTAATATTTTAATCCAGTTGTTTAGATCACCATTTTGAAATGGTTTTTATGCCTTAATGCACAGAGAATAAAAATGTTTACTGTTTAAATACCCTCTAATATTTTAAAGTGATATATGATTTTTTTTTTTTTTTTTAGTGATGGAGGCCTGAGCCAATCACAAGATGACAGCATTGTGGGAACAAGGCATTGTAGACACAGCCTAGCTATAATGCCTATTCCTGGAACACTCTCATCCAGTAGCCCTGATCTCCTACAGCCTACTACCAGCATATTGGACTTTTCCAATCCTTCAGGTAATGTTCACACATAATTTTATGAAGACAAATTGGTACCTAATGAACAGACAAATGGTTGGGCCATGCAGTAAATACTAAATTTGCTTGCCTGCCTGCTACCTTCTCTTACCTCTGGGTGACTTCATGCTGAAAGCAGTAAGATTATCTTTTTATCTAAACTTGCAGAGTACGTCCTCAAAAATTAAAGAAAATTACGTAAAAACTACCCCTGACCACAGATTTAGATGTCTTTTGGTAATTATTATCTGAGCAGTGAAATGAAAACAGACACTTCTTAGCCAAGAAACATGTTATCCAAAGTATGAAAAGTTTAAATGGCCTCGATAATCTTTCTTAGGGATATATAAAAATGCCTTGGTAATTTTCTAAAAGCAGTGATTTTTTTTTCCTCAATACATGAAGCTAAAGTAGTTGTTGTTATCAAAGTATTACAGCATCTTTTTCATTGTTCAGACTTTCATTGTGAGACATCAAGTTAATTTTTTTTATTTATGTATTGATGCCCGGAGACAGAAATTTTCACTTAACTATATAATCTAAAATTTCACTCCAAAGGATCAACACCTTTGAAGAATCAACTAGATATCATCATTTGAAGAAATTCAAAATAGCTTTTAATAAAAGACACATGCAATTAAGTGAGCAATATAATGTGTCCAGGGAAGAGAAAGGAAAAAAATTCTTCCACAAAGATCATCATATTTCTGGTGCAGCATAAATTTTCACTTCCAACAGCTAGTGTTAAGAAGGAAGGAAACTCAATTACATTAATCTCCGTATTTGAAGAAAATACATAAGTGTAGTAGTAAAGTTTGTGTTTCATTATAGCAACTTACAACCCCAGGACATAACACAAAAACAGTGAGGTCATTCTGTACGTGGTTTTTTCCTTTTTAATTCAGTTGCCTCTTAACCACTAGAGAGACTACTAAACCCATTTGTACAACTTACTTTCTATGTCATTATCAGTATTCTTTTCAAGAATAAATATTTTAGTGAATCATTACTTTGCTTAGAAATTTCTAGCAGTTTATCAGTGAGTGTTCACTTATGATACAGAAATCACTCTCCTTATTTGATCAGAAGTTAATGTAAAGATTGCTACCCACCTATCAAGTTAATTAACTTAAAAGGGTAAGAAAGCAAGACTGAAGTATCATAGGGGTAGGAAAATCTACCATCTGGATTCAGTTTCTGTTATATAAAGGAAATGTTACTACCAGTGTGGGACATTTTGCTGGGATAAACCTCCCTTCTTACCTCCTATTCTGATGTTATCCCCACTGTTTCTTCATCCTTTTTTGAATATGGCATATACCTGTAGAATTCTTTGTCCATGTGGTTTGGTCAAAGAATTCTACAGGTATATAGTCAACTTTTTCTTTTCATCGATGCTGAAATTAAATGTTACTCATCTGGGAAGTTCAGCTCCCTCTGCTGTGGTGTTACTTGCTCTTTTTTCAGAAGTTCCCAGCACATTTTCATGGCCTGTCTTTATTTGTTATGTGATAGGTTAGAAATTTCTTTTCGTGCCTGTGTGAATTGTGTTCTACAATGATGCTTGTTATACCATATATAAACTTTACAAAATATTTTTGCACTACTAGAGCAGAAGCTAAATATACTTACATTCATAAGACAAGTATTTAGGGATATATGATACATAGATTTATTGAATTTTTGTCTGTATTTTTGCCATAGGCATATGTAGAATATAGGGCCAAGGTAATAAGGAATGGGCTATGGGATAGGAGAGAGAATGAGAGAAGACGTAAGATGAGATGTTAGATGGGGAACAAAGAAAAGAGGTTAAAGTTGTTAAAATTTAGAAACTTTCAGTTAAGCCCCATGGAGCAGAAATTTAGGCCTCTGAAGAGGAGATACTGCCCAACTTGATTACAGATTGGGTTGCAATTTCTCTTCCTTGAAAACATTTTTAAAAGGACTGAAAATACCTTTTTAAAATCCATTGAGTGAATCTTAATATGGTTCAGTCTACAGACTGTGCCCATGTTAGTAATGTAAATGAATGCATATATGTATTTAACTTAAAAAATATATTTTAAGCCCCAAAATGTGTGACTTTGTGAAAGACCTTTTACCTAGTGGTGGTGGTATTTTTATTTATCTTTAAAAAATATTTTTGACAGCTAATTCAGAATTCATCTCCTCATATAATATGCAGTCACACTGAAATTAGCACATCACATCCATATATTGTAGTACCTATGTGTCATCAGCCAAGCTTAAATTATCAGTCTTGAGCTCAGTTATGTTTATTCTTCAAGTATAAAATTGTTACTAGATCAAAATGAAAGTGGGGGCAGAACTACAAAACTGTTGATAGTTTTATTTTAATTGCTGACATTTTTATGATTTTGCTTTATTTTTGCTGCCTTACAGCTGTTGGTTTTTACTGTAAGTATTTCGGAATTCCATTCCTAGTCTTTGTGGTATTTTGTTATTTTCAAAAAGTCATATGGTACAGAATTGAGTAAAATAGGAAACAGAACTTTTATTTCTTGTTACAAGGTAGAATTAACTAGCATGTATCCTTTTAGTCATTTTCTTTGGGAAAAAAATAAATGTGTATGTGTTATTTCTATATTCAGAGTGTACGTGCTATTCTAAAGCTCGTGAAAAGGTTTTTGAAATTTTTAACCGAATATAAGATGAAGCCTAAAAAATTCAGAGTGTGGCTAAAAGGAACTTGAAACTGAGGGGTTTTTTGTTTTGTTTTGTTTTGTTTTTGAGTTTGCAATAAAACTTTTTCCTTATTTTTTCATTTACTAGCACAAGACTTACTTTATTTACTTAATGTAGCAAACTTACTTCTGCATTGAAAGTCTGAGGGCCATTTTTTACTAGCTTTTAATTATAAAGAAACATAAACATAGTTTTTTGAAAAATCTGGTGTACACCTTTCTATTCCCCAGAATTTAGTTAATTTTCTCATGTATTCTTTAAAAAATTTATTATTCGTAAAATGTGTATGCTATTCTTTTCATCTCAAATACAATCTTGTACTTTTCTTTCACTTAGCAAGTTACCTGTATTAGAATGTGATGGTCTAGCAAAATTTTGTGGGGAGCACAGTCCTGAGATTGAACTGAGGGGCACTCAACCACTGAGCCACATCCCCAGACCTGTTTTGTGTTTTATTTAGAGACAGGGTCTCACTGGTCTCACTTGCTTAGCACCTTGCTTTTGCTTGAGGCTGGCTTTGAACTCTAGATCCATTTGCCTCAGCCACAGCCTCTTGAGCCACTGGGATTTCAGGCATGCGCCATTGCGCCCAATTCTACCAAAATTTTTAAGCAGCTGATAGAATTCTTTTCAGCAGTTTCCTATTAGTGGACTTTTACAGTGTTTTCTAAACACTTATGTCTACATGTTTTATATTTCCATTTCCATTATTGATTTATTTTGAATTTTGTCAGTAAAAATTTTTTCTCATTATATGAGTACCTGAAAAATATCATGGGTATTGCCTCTTGGCCTATAAAACTTAAAATATTTACTTACCTGGCCCTTCAGAAAAACAAGTGTACCAATTCCTGATCTATACCATTAAATCATTACACTTTGTTTTCTTGGTAGATTTTTTACTACAAGAAATTGCCTTGTTTGGTTGATTATTGTCTTTCCTTGGCACACCATTTATTACTCATTTGAATGGAAGTAAATTCCCTGAGAGCAGATTATCTCATTTATCACTGTATCTTTATCACTTAGAACATGTTGACACATACTAGCAATGTTATTGTTCAATTAACAATTTATAGTAGAAAGAGTCTTTTTGTTTTTTTTAAAGGATGCTCTTGTTCTTTCAGGGCTGGGGTTATATATAGTTCATTTGGTAGAGTGCTTACCTCGAATACACAAGGCCCTAGGTTCAATCCCCAGCACTACCAAAAAAAAAAAAATGTCCTTTCATTTGAGTATTGCTCTTGACATGTGTTCTCCCACTAATAACAATTATATATGTTTGTAAAGAATATATATGTAGTACTTATTTGTAAAATAATAGAGAAAGATTTACACTGTCATTGGTGTCAGTAAAAAGAAGTTGTTTTCCTCTAATGTCTCAGTTTTCCAAGATGGCATTCATTATATTGGCACATTGATCGGGTTTGGATTATAGGGTACCCTTTGAATCCCACTTGTAGATCTGTGCTAGAGGTACCTCTGTGTGATACTTGAATCTCTCTTATGTGATTAGAGAACACCTTTTCCTTGTCTAGGAGAACAGATGGTTTTAACAGAATGTAGCATTTTAACACCCCATTCAGCAAGATATACAACTGAGTGTTTCTTCCTAAAAGACTTTATAGCATCAGGGAAAGAGAACATGAAGTATGTGCAAATTCCCCCCCACCAGATTTTGTGAATAAATTCCCCTGAAGAAAGTAATACAAAGGATAAGGAAGTCCTCACCATTCCTTCAAGGTCCTCTAGTACCACTTGCTGAGGCTCAGCTTCCAAAGCTCTAGTAAACAGATCCAGTTCTGGAGCCCAGGACCCATTTCATGAAGAGGGTAGGATCAAAACAAGTAATAACTGTATATTGTTTGGTCTTTTATTAACAAGTTAAAATAATAGTGAAACCACTTTGTTTCTCCTCACAAACCAAAATACCCATCTGCTTCCAATAATTTCCTAGGACTGTGGTGGTAGGGCTTATTTCATAAAATTATTTCCTGCCGTATATGTTGCATTACTTTCTTTGTTCCTTTTAAGACAAATTTTTTAATTTTTTTCCTCTTAAAAATTAGTTACCCAGGGGCTGGGGTTGTGGCTCAGAGGTAGAGCGCCTAGCATGTGTGATGCACTGTGTTCAATCTTCAGCACCACATAAAAATAAATAAATAAAATAAAGGTATTGTGTCCAACTACAACTAAAAAATAAATAAAAAATAGTTACCCACTAGCGTCTCAAAAGGCTGAGGCAGGAGGGTTCCAAGTTTGAGGCTAGCCTCAGCAATTTTGCAAGGCCCTATCTCAAATTTTAAAGAGTTGGGAATTTGACTCAGTGGTTTAGAGTCTGTGGGTTCAATCTCCAGTACCAAAAACAAAACAAAGGAAAAGTTAGTAGTTTCTACAATGATCATAAGTCAATGCTAGACAAAAAGTTAACTGAGCCACCACAGTCTCCCCTATCCATTCCACTATAGTCAATACACATACACTCACACACAGAAAAGCCACAACAAGAAACATTCCTGAATTTTTATAACAGTAACTTATTTTCATAGGAAATTTTTTACTATTTGTTTATATAAGTCACTTACATAAACAAATAGTAAAAAAGTCACTCTAGTCAAGTCACTTTTCGATTATTTTAAAACATTAACATTAAAATGCCAGCATAATAAACATTGTTCTGAAAGTTTTAACCTGTACTCTGTGATGAGAAAAAAGATTTAATCAAGTAGGACAGAAAAAAATGAAAATATCATATCATAATTCGTATTATAGGAACAGGTGGAATTTATCTGCTAACAGCAGAATTCACAAGGGCAAAGACAGATATTTAAGCATATAAACATTTAAAACCTTTCTTTGTTAGAAATACAATAGACTATTAAAATTGGGGAGATATTTACCTCTGTAAAGTAGAGTGGGTGTTCATATCTATTATGATTCAGTGGGGAAAAGCATATAGGATATCAAAAGGTATTTTAGAAAAGAAGAAATACTAATTATTCTTTAAGCCAATACCAGTTACTGAATCTCATCAATAATGGAAGAAATGAAAAACAAAATAATTACATATTTTTGGAGGAAAAGGGCTTTCAAAAGGAGGAAAGTGAAGTAAGATATTATTATATAAACCATTTAAATAAGAATCAACAATTTTATGCTCTCACATTTGAGGATTATAAAATATAATCTCACTGGGGGACATTTTGGCAATGTCTCAAAAATCTTCAAGAGCCAAGCACAGTGATGCATGCTTGGCTGTAATGATGTAATACCAGATAATCAGGATTCTGAGGCAAAAGGATCATAAGTGCAAGGCCAGACTAGGCAACTTAACAAGACCCTGTCTTCAAATAAAAGGAGTTGGAGATGTGTAATGTAGTGATAGAGCTACAGTACCAGAAGGAAAAACTAAGGCTTAGTTTTTTTTTTTTTGAAGGTTTTCACAGAGGAAATAATCTGATTGCCTACAAATATTTATCTATTTTGGGGGTGAGGAAGGAGTGTAGGTCATAATATCTTAACAAATATGTAAAATGGTAAACAATAAATGTTTATCATTAGGGGTTTGGATAATTGAAATATATAAGTTATATATTATGGAGTTCTTTGCCTGTATTTAAAATAATTTTATAGAACATTGACATCATAATGTTTATAATAAATGAAAAAAATATGAGTTCTAAGCCAGACAATAATATGATCCTAATTTTTATCTTTCTGAACATGTATTATCGTGTTTTGTCACCTAAAAAAAAATAGTAGATAACATTTTTATCAATAAATGCCACAGTGATTTCTATATGAATAGTTAATCACCTACACGAAATAGGAAAATAAATTGCAACATTTACAGAAATAGTTATGTTCCAAATTGTTTTTGAAGAGTTTAAAAGTAATTTTCATGAAAATAATAAGGCATTTTTTTATTTATATAGATATTCCTGATCAAGTTATAAGAGTTTTCAAAGCAGATCAACAAAGTTGCTACATTATCATCAGTAAAGACACTACAGCTAAAGAAGTAGTTTGTCATGCTGTTCATGAATTTGGTTTGACTGGTGCATCCGACACATATTCTCTTTGTGAAGTTTCTGTTACTCCAGAGGGTGTCATAAAGCAGAGAAGACTTCCTGACCAGTTCTCCAAATTAGCTGATAGAATTCAACTCAATGGAAGGTGAATAAGCTTCTTAGTGAATGTGATTATTTTCGGGGGGGGGGGGGTTGTTTATGATTCCCTGTTAAAACGCGTATTTTAAGTACAAATGTCATGTTTTATTACTACCGAATTCTCTCTAAAAATTGAAAGTAGGGTTTCTTTCTTTTCTAAGCTTTTCTTATCTCTATAATTATAAAATAGAATCTTAGGATATTCTTAAGACTTCCATAAATTGGAGATAATAAAAGAGAAAACAGTTTGCTAACTTTTTAAGAACCAGCCTCACTAAAAGCAAGATGCTGGTAAATCAGAGCTGAGTGAGGCAGTGCACACCTGTAATCCTAGCAGCTCAGGAGGCTGAGTTAGGAAGATCATGAGTTCAACGCCAACCTCACTAAAAGCAAGATGCTAAGCAACTCAGTGAGACCCTGTCTCTAAATAAAATACAAAATAGAGCTGGGGATGTAGCTCAGTGGTTGAGCAACCCTGAGTTCAACTCCCAGTAGCCCCTTCTGCAAAAAAAAAAAAAAAAAAAGTTATAAAATCAGTAGTGTGTTCTAATGCTTGTTTTTTGTTTTTTACAGAAGAGGCAGCAGAATAATACAAATCTGTATCAGTATCTGAATATGCATATGTATTAATGTATAAATTTAGGGTTTTTAGATGTAGATGGACAGCATGCCTTTATTTATTTTTTATGTGGTGTTGAGGATCAAACCCAGTGCCTCACACATGCTAGGCAAGCACTCTGCCACTGAGCTACAGCCCAGCCTTAAATTTAGTTTTGAAACGCCTAGTGTAGGCAAAAGAAACCATTCATTATTCTTTTCCAAATAGTTTTACTTTTATGAATGTACAGAATTTTTAAATTTTTGTCTGAAAGTTATTGGATAATCTAGAAGATTGTTTTGGTATTATTCCTTTCTCTGATAACTTTCTCTGAAAATAATCTTTCTTAGTGACTCAGTTTTACATGTAGAACCTTGGAAACCTTAAAATGACAATCTGTCATGGTTGCCTCAAGTCTGCTTGTAGGCTATACAATTTATGGCATTAGAGATGAACAAAATAAAGGCTGGAAAAAATTTTTTCTTTGATAATAAAAAAATATATGAACATAGCCAAGTGTAGTAGCACACACCTGTAATCCCATCTACTCGGGAGGTTAAGGCAAGAGGATTGAAGTTTGAGGCCAGCCTCAGCAAGTTAGCAAGACCCTATCTCAATAACATACTAAGGGCTGGGAGTGTGGTTCAATGATAGAGCACCCCTGGGTTCAATTCCCAATATCATTAAAAAAATAAATAGATATATAGATAAATTTAGCTGAATTTGTATTATTAACACCCTATACAATATAGTTCCAACTATAAATAGTGTAGGTCCATCTCTCAGCTTTTAAGTGTCATAGAAATGTTGATTTAAGAGAAGAAAGGAAAATTAAGGTCTTTTGTACAGATACCAATTAATGCTGTTTGCTAGAATGAGAGTTATATTTGACTATTAAAGAAACCACTGGTAGAAAAGTTTCCTTTCCTTCACTTGGAAATTTAGGGAAATAAATAAAACAGAAAGAAGTGAATACAGCAACAGCTTCTAAATAGATATGTAAACAGTCTTGATTCATGTGCTTATTTCACTTGAATCATGATTTCTTCTGTCCATAAACAAATATTTTTATAATACAGCTGTATGTCAGATAATATTCTAGGTGTTGGTCCTCAAGAGAGCTTTTATTCTTAAGAACATGCACACATGGGGCTGGAGTTATAGCTCAGTGGTAGAGCGCTTGCACAAATGAGGGCAATGGCTTCAAACCTCAGCACCACGTAAGTAGCAGAGGTACACACCTGTAATCCCAGCAGCTTGGGAGGCTGAAACAGGAGGATGGAGAGTTCAAAGCCAGTCTCAGCAAAAGTGAAACACTAAACAACTCAATGAGACCCTGTCTCTAAAAAAAAGAATATACACACATGATTGTTTACACATGGCGAGTAATTTCATCAATGATTAAGTTCCCAGCATAATGAACACTAATTTAAAAAATATTAGATTCTTACTCTGTCAAATGGCTGAATAAGAGGACAACTCCTTAGTAATCTTCTCATTTGGTGGGGTCTAGTGGCACATGCCTGTAATCCTAATGATCTGGGAGGCTTGGGAGGCTGAGGCAGAAAGATCAAAAGTTTGAGGACAGCCTTAGCAACTTAGTGAAACCCTGTCTTAAAATAAAAAGGACTGAGAATATAACTAACTCAGTAGTAAAGTGCCTCTGGGTTTAATTCCCAATACCCCCACTCCCCCCCCCAAAAAAAAAACTTTTCATTTAAATTGTTTCCATTTCATATATGAGTGAACATTCTACATAGTAAAGTGATATTTTTGAAACCCATAATGAAGAGGGACAGCACTCTTAACAAATGAAATTACATGTATGATCACATTTATGAAGAATTTTTTTTCCTTTTAGGTATTATTTAAAAAATAATATGGAAACAGAAACTTTATGTTCAGATGAAGATGCTCAAGAACTAGTTAAAGAAAGCCAATTATCCATGCTGCAGCTCAGTACCATTGAGATGGCCACCCAATTATCAATGAGGGACTTCGATTTATTTCGTAATATTGAGCCTACTGAATATATTGATGACCTTTTTAAGTTGGATTCCAAAACAGGAAATACTCACTTGAAAGAGTTTGAGGACATTGTAAACCAAGAGACATTCTGGGTTGCCTCAGAGATTTTAACCGAATCAAATCAACTCAAACGAATGAAAATTATTAAGCATTTTATTAAAATTGCACTTCATTGTCGAGAATGTAAGAACTTCAATTCCATGTTTGCAATAATAAGGTAAGTTAGTACAAATAGGAACAGATATCTATATGTTTTTTTTTCCATGCTATTACACATGAAGCTGATTTTCTGCATAGGTATTAAGTGCCTAGGAAAAGAAAAGTTCAATTAATAAGACTTCATTGAAGCATTATTAGATTTCATGCACTTTCCCATCAATACCATTAGAATGGAATATTTGTTTCTTCCATCTTTCTGTCGATTAAAAATACCGCCCCCCTTTTTAATTGAATGCAAATCATTCCCTTCCCACCTTTTTTCCCCTCCTTTCAATGATCACACCCTTTTTGATGCGCGCCCAGTGAGCTAGTCTTTATCATAGACTTATGATAAAGATACTTAAACATGCATAGAACATAGACTTATGTACTATGCATGTTTAAGTACCTGCCTCACTATTATTTGACACTGAAAAATCAGTGTGGTATCGATTTTCTGACATAAATTGCTATTTTGAAATAACAGCCAAAATACTTTCAACCATTTGATAAGTTCTTCCTATTTGCCAGGCACTGCATGGGGCATTATGGGACATATTGTTATTTAAGCAAGCTAAGCCGTTAGAATTATAAAAATTCTTAAATGTTTATAAGCCTGGGATTTATAGATGGTTACATGAGCTTTCCCTACTACCTTCTGTCTGCTCATTGTGAGAAGCCAATTCTAGATAATTTATTTTCTGACCTTCATCCAGCACACTGCTCATCAAAAAAAGGGATTCTTCTTAAAGCAAGTCTGATTTTAAAGAGGAAAGGAGTTATATAGTTAGGTCAATTTGAAGGCTTTTTGTGTGTGTGTGTGTGTGTGCTGGGGATTGAACCCAGGGCTTTGTGCATGTGAGGCAAGGGCTCTATGAATTTAGCTATATCCCCAGCCCTGAAGGCCATATTTTATATACAGCAGCCTAATTTTTTTTCCCTTCCCACTGCCACCAAAACACACATGTGTTCCTGTCACTCATGTGGGGTCTTTAATCATGAGTCTGTCATGGTAATATGATGCCCTTTGTAGTGAGTTAACCAGTGCTACAATTGAACTAGACACTGTAGAAGTATTGAATAGAGATTATCAAAGTGACTTTACAATCAGCTGTGCCTGTACTTGAATTTAGCCTCTCCCATGTAGTAGCAGGGTGTTGATGGGAAACTTAAGACTAGTTTTCTCATCTGTAAGATACAGGAGTTATACCACTTATCTCACATTTTTTTTTAACATTAGGTGTAAAATAGAAGAGAGATGCCACTGATAAACACTTGGAAGGCTAGAAAGTCACTCTGTATAGGAAGCATCAGGTAAAAGATTTGAGAGTTATAGGCTCAGTTTAGAGTATCCTATGAAGAAAATTGACATGGAGAGAGAGAGTGGATGATCTCTGTTTAAAAAGAGTATAGAAAGAAAATGGTAGAGGACTAAAAAACTAAACCTTGTATTATCTTCTGTGGGCAACTAAGAAGAGAGTCCAACCAAAGATGGAGAATCATTACAAAGCAGCACAGTAATGATAGTGTAATTAAAAGCAGGGAATTTGAGAGAAGGTGGTGGACAGTAGCTCAAAGAAGGGTGTAGGAAAGGCCCAAGGTTTAGTTAAGATGATTTGTTTTGTTACAAAGAACATTTATTATACACAATTTCCATGGTTTATGTGAATATAACTGCTTTGTATTCTTGTATTTAAATTCAGGTTTATCAAAGAATATATTCTTTTCATTGGAGATGGAATAGGTGAATCATTTTGTTCTGACCAAGATTAAATAGCATTTTGTATTAAAAATAAATTTAATTTTTGAAAAAACATTACATACACATAGAAAAAATTCAAACGATACTTTAAAAAGTACACAGTGTAGGGCTGGGGTCGTGGCACAAAGGATGAGCGCTTGCCTCACATGTATGAGGCATTGGGTTCAATTCTCAGCGCCACATATAAAAAATTTTAAATAATAATAAATAAATTTTAAAAACAAGTTTTAAAAAAACTGCACAAAGTAATTCTCTTCCACTTAATCTCCAGTCCATCCATATTTCTCTCCTATCTTGGTTTATTTAGGGGCTTATTGTTTGTTTTGTTTTGGGTTTTGGCAGGTTTATGTTCCCTGGTACCTCAGGTAATTTTCTTACACTTAGTTTCATACTTTCAGAAATACCTTTCCTGATTTTGAAAGTATTTTCTTTTTTGTTCGAGTGGTTGGTCCATTTTCTTTCTATACTCTTTGATTGATCATAGAGATTATTCCAAATTAGTACCTATAAAGATGCCTCAGGGTTTTTTTAAATTTTTTTTTTTAAGTTGTAGATGGACCCAATACCTTTATTTTATTTGTTTATTTTTGTGCCGTTCTGAGGATCAAACCCAGTGTCTCACACATGCTAAATGAGCACTCTATCACTGAGCCACAACCCCAGCCCCAGATGCCTCAGTTTTTAAAGCAACTACAGAGTATTCCTTTATACATTATTTGTGGGTCATTCTAAATTTTGACCTTAAGCTACTTAAGACAATGTATGATGTTTGTATTTGCTATACTTACGCCTTTTTTTTTTTCCTTTAATAATCATTTTTCTTTCTTGGAGATTCTACATTTTACATTTTTTTAAGAACAAATATAAATGCTTTGGTTTGAATCCAGTGTTGGCACTTAATAAGTGAACTGAGTTTTCTCATCTGTAAAATGGGGAATCATGGTAGTTCCTGTCTCATAGGGTTAATTCAGTGAATTAGTACATTGAAAGCTCTCAGAACTTTATACTATTATATTTTGATTTATATTAACAGTTTTTATTAATCTTCAGTTCACTTTAATGTAAATAGTGAGGTAGGAAAATATATCTTACTTTGTTCCAAATGGCTTCTTGGTTATCCAGAATAATTAATCTTTTCTCCTAAAATATAATACTGTCATATACTAAAATTCCATAAATATTTTTGGTCTGTTTCTGGCATTCCACTTCATTTATTTATCCCTTCATTTACTGTTTAAAATGCTAAAACGTTAAATTTTAAGAACTGATAGACTTGTACTATTATCTGGCTATTTTCAGCATGTTTGTTTCATATGAACTTTAGTGTTAACTCATTTAATTCTTTTAAAAAGTTTTGTGGGTATTTTCAGTGGATTACATTAAATAGATTAGACTGATTTAGCAGCTACTTGACATACCAATGCCTTGTTACACCTAAGAACAATTAACTTCACTTCTCATTTTCTTGTTTCTTTGGCAGTTATAGGTTGTTTATATAAATCTTGAACATTTCTTTGAATGTTTAATACCTTTTAATGCTGTTCTGAATGGAATCCTTATAATCACTTGTTGCACCTGCCTAAGGATTCTAACGTTTATGTATATCAGTTTTGTATACCCTAATCTTACTACATTTTAATTTCTAATAATTTTCAGTTAATTCTTTTGGGATTTTGAGTTAGACAGTCTAATATTTAAACTACTAATAATAACTTGACCTTTTATTCCATTTATCTATTTTTTTATTTAGTCTGTTTCTATCTGCTGGTACTTTCACATTAAATAGTAATTGTAATTATGAGCCTCTATGCATAATTTGCAGCTCTTAATAAGAATGTTTCCTGTGCTTCTTCATTAAACATAATGCAGACTGGGTTCAAAAATATATGATTGAATTCTCTTTTTACTGGTTTTCTAAATATTAATTGCATATTAGTATTATAAATTATTTTAATAGTTTCCTGAAAATGAATTACCTTTCTAATCTGGCGTGAGCTCCATTTAAGCATGGTAAATTTTATAGTGTTGTATCTTTCTGATTTGTGTGGCTTTTTTGTGGATTTTAACGCCAATAGCATGCTGGCTTCATAAAATTTGAAAGTGTTCATTCATTATTTATGCTCTGTAACAAGTTAAATCTCATTGGAGGTAATTATTTGGTTGACAGTTTGAAAGGACTCATAAGTGAAATTCTCTGGGCCTTGATGTTCTTTAATAATCTCTGTAATCGTTCTTTTTTTTGTTATTTGTTCAAAACATTACAAAGCTCTTGACATATCATATTTCATACATTTGAGTCAAGCAGATTATGAACTCCCATTTTTACCCCGTAAACAGATTGCAGAATCACATCGCTTACATATCCACTTTTTTACATACTGCCATACTAGTGTCTGTTGTATTCTGCTGCCCTTCCTATCCTCTACTATCCCCCCTCCCCTCCCATCTTCTCTCTCTACCCCATCTACAGTAATTCATTTCTCTCTCTTGTTTTTTTCCCCTCACTTCCTCTTATATGTAATTTTATAAAGGAAGGGTTTCCTTCCTTTACCATGCAATTTCCCTTCTCTCTTTCCCTCCCCCCTCTCGTCCCTGTTTAATGGTGATCTTCTTCTCATGCTCTTCCTCCCTATTCTGTTCTTAGATGCTCTCCTTATATCAAAGATGACATTTGGAATTTGTTTTTTAGGGATTGGCTAGCTTCACTTACCATAATCTGCTCTAGTGCCATTCATTTCCCTGCAAATTCCATGATTTTGTCATTTTTAGTGCAGAGAAATACTCCATTGTGTACAAATGCCACATTTTTTTATCCATTCATCTATTGAAGGGCATCTAGGTTGGTTCCACATTCTAGCTCTTGTGAATTGTGATGCTATGAACATCGTTGTAGCAGTATCCTTATAGTACGCTCTTTTAAGGTCTTTAGGAAATAGTCCAAGAAGGGGAATAGCTGGGTCAAATGGTGGTTCCATTCCCAGCTTTCCAAGGGATCTCCATACTGCTTTCCAAATTGGCCGCACCAATTTGCAGCCCCACCAGCAATGTACAAGTGTACCCTTTTCCCCACATCCTCGCCAGCACTTGTTGTTGTTTGACTTCATAATGGCTGCCAATCTTACTGGAGTGAGATGGTATCTTAGGGTGGTTTTGATTTGCATTTCTCTGACTGCTAGAGATGGTGAGCATTTTTTTCATGTACTTGTTGATTCATTGTATGTCCTCCTCTGAGAAGTGTCTGTTCAGTTCCTTGGCCC